GGTCACGTAGGCCACTTCAATAGGTTTCGACTGTTTGTTGTTTTCGCACCGCGCCGCGCCGCTCCGCGTTCGGGTCTAGATCGCTTACGCAGGACGTCGCGTTACGCAGGACGTCGCGTAAGAGCGGAATCCACGTTGCCGCCCCGCGCAGCGACCGCATGCGTCTAACTGTTATGGCAAAATACGCTCTATTTGTTTAGCTGTTATGTTTTAACTTAAATGAGTGTCCCGGACACGCGGGCACGGCTGGCTTGAACTTGGTCGACGTGGCGGCCCGCGCGGCGACTGTCGAAGGCCGAACAGTAAAAATTTCGAATGGTGATACTGCAATCCATCTAATTGTCATGGCTATTTTTATAAATAATTTAATTTCTATTGCTACATATAAGCAGTAATGTGAACATTAAGTACCGTGTTTCGGTTTTTAAATGGTGGTGTGCTGGTGAAATGAGACTTGTTAACTTATGTTAGCCAGCTTATGTAGCCAGTGTCGCTCAGAACTTAGATTTGAAGCTCTGAGTGGCACTGCAACTGTTATGGACAGGCGTGTCTCTTACGGCCAGGCGCACAACTTGTTCGTCCCGTCACTTACGTCATAAAAAAACTTAAATTGTAACATTCTTTATTTATCGAAGAAAAGTGTACAAAAAAGAAACATAAAATCTCGTATTATTTAATTTCTGACTTAGATACAATACTTTAGAGTGGTCTACAAGACCTACAAGTTTATTTTGGGTAAAGTTTTATAAAACCGTAGTTCTGTTTTACGAATAGTGTTATTGATTGAAAGTTTCTGACTGCAAAGAGTTGACCTTGAACACGGAGTTGACGCGAGAGAAGGGGTGACATCAGTCAGCGTGAGCAAGAGGCGGGTAGCAACTGTGATAATTAGTTTTAGAAAAATGTACATTTTTCTATATTATTCATCACGTATATTTTTTTTAGTAATAAGAAGGAATATTTTGAAACTGGCAACGCCGTATTTCGATTACTATAACTATAACGATAGTTATTCCTTCTTGTCCGTCACATTAGTATTTTTTTATACTCCTGTACTACAATTCTAATATGCAAATACAATACAATACAATTATAATTTAGTAGCAGTAGAGCTCCTTGTGAAAGAGTTCGTCCAGGGAAGTACTGCCACCTTACCTATTTCTACTGCCAAGTAGTAATGTCAGCATTACAGTGTTCCGGATTTGAAGGGTTTTTTTAAATAATAGTTTTACGGCACCGGAATAAATCCATCAAGCCAAATCTTCAACATTTATTTCCTTATCTTTTTAAATGGTGTAAAACTTTCTGGGTGCTGGTGAAATTACAGGCACATGAGACTTGTCAACTTATGTGTCAGGGTGACGGGCGCAGTGGCAGTGCTCCTTAGACCTTTGCGACTTAAAGCTGCGTTATTATTCTAAGCTTAAAGCTTTGAACGGCACTGCAACTGTTATGGACAGGCGTGTAGCTAACCATTAGGCGTATGACCTGTTCGTCCCGTCACTTGATATTATAAAAACAATAAAAAAGAATTTCATGAACTATATCACATAGGCGCTCTTTTTAGTTCTGAACCAAATTCTATTGTCTATGGCACTCGCTAGATCCGAAAAAAAGTGTTTACAAAAAAGAACGTTGTATTTTGTACTCGACTATAGGAACCCACATTATGCAACCACTACATACATATAATCTTAGAATAATAACGCATAGAAACCTAGCCCGCACACGCCAAGTGAGGCAAGTTAGAGGCTTCCCAGACGGGCTACACGAGCGGGCGGGCTGTCAGTGCTCAAGGTCAAATTGCACCGCAAACAGCTCCAAAATTTTTGCTAAAAATGACGAAATGTGCGGCAAATGTGTGTAAAAATAGAACAGGCAAACATCAAATAGACACTAACATCACATTCCACAAGGAAGTAACGCGTTTCAACTTGTATTTTTAAAATTAAAAATTAATTTCGTTGCAACAAGACACGGGGGTGCTCATTACGAATATAGTACTTATTTCTAAATCCAAGATGGCGAATACAATTTTTAAAAAAGTGCAATATGGGTACTCTTTTCGAGGTATTTGGGGATGCTCATTACGAATATGGCACTCATTTCTAAATCCAAGATGGCGGGCGCGATTTTTCGAATAATGGCAAGTTGGGTATCGTTTTCGAGATATTTGGGGGTGCTCATTGCGAATAAAGCACTTATTTGTAAATCCAAGATGGCGGACACGATTTTTCAAATACCTCGAAAATGAGACCCATATAGCATTTTTTTGAAAAATCGTGCCCGCCATCTTGGATTTAGAAATGAGTGCCATATTCGTAATGAGCACCCCCAAACAGCACGAAAATGATACCCATATTGCATTTATTTGAAAACTCGTGTCCGCCATCTTGGATTTAGAAATAAATGCTATATTTGTAATGAGCACCCCCAAATACCTTGAAAACGATACCCAACTTGCCATTATTCGAAAAATCGTGCCCGCCATCTTGGATTTAGAAATAAGTGCTATATTCGTAATGAGCACCCCCAAATACCTCGAAAATGATACCCTTTTGCATTTATTTGAAAACTCGTGTCCGCCATATTAGATTTAGAAATAAATGCTATATTTGTAATGAGCACCCCCAAATACCTTGAAAACGACACCCAACTTGCCATTATTCGAAAAATCGTGCCCGCCATCTTGGATTTAGAAATGAGTGCCATATTCGTAATGAGCATCCCCAAATACCTCGAAAAGGATACCCATATAGCATTTTTTGAAAAATCGTGTCCGCCATCTTGGATTTACAAATAAGTGCTATATTCGTTTTTCATCGACAAAACCGAGCATATCTGTAGGCACCTGATCGACATTGTCGATCGACAGTAACGATCGACAAAATCGAGCACATCTGTAGGCACCTGATCGACAATGTCGGGCAAATCTGTAGGCACCTTTAACTTAATGATGAATTAAGCAAGATACAATTTCCCCACTTTTGAGGGAAATGTTATTCCATGGCATCATTATTTGTATATTTGTGTGCGTGCCGACGAGCGTAGTTACAAGTTGCTTACGCGTACATGAATTTGGTTTTTGCCCCACTTGTGACCGTTCGTTTGATATGAAACTATCATTCTATGCGTTATTATTCTAAGCATATAATACTATATATATATATATGCTTTTTGTAGCGAACCTAAACCGTAGCTTTGCTATCTTTTTTGTATTATTAATTATTTTTTTCATATTTGTACTCAAATGTAAAATTGGATTTTACTCGTTTTCAGCGCCCTTTTGTGAAATATTTTATTATTCTAGCATTGTTTTCCAGTTGTCTTCATATTTTTGTCAATTATGTGGCTTGTTTAATAAACTATTAAGTGAAGTCGTAAACTGACGCCGATATCCTTGCTATTGTTACTTACTCCGCTCCATCCATAGGGCAAAAATCCCTTATGCTCGGTCCAGTTGGTGATGTCCACGTAAAAAAGGCCGGCAGTCATGATGAACACCCAGATGCTGAGGTTGATAGCATTTAGCACGTTGTTGAAGAACAGGGACTTCTTCACTCCAGCGACCAGGACCAGCATCATTAGGAGAGTGATTCCAAAAGCCAGGAAGTCAGGTGGTTTACCTATTTGCAAAGAAAAATGGCTATTAAAAAAAAATAAAACTAAACAGAGACTATAATTTTAAAGAATATTGCATAATTTAACGATTTTTTGTTAATTATGTAAGGTCTTACTTAGTTTTAAAAACAATCAGTCATTGTCGATAATTGTGTAGTATTACCTAAGTCTAGGAGTATTCAACGCAGCTCTTGTATAACCACTATAAATGTTTTATTAATTTATTTATTACATTCGTTAACAGAAATACACTATTAAACATAGACATAAAATAACACAACAGAAATTACTCGAGTGTAAACAAAATAGTAGGCAAATACAGCATGCATATACAACATAGTATCAGAAGCGTTTACTGTGCGTTATATTACAGACAAACAAATGTGTTGCTAGATCAAATGGTTTCGGTATTTAGAATTAAATAACAGCTTATAAAATACATATAATGAGCCCAAGGATATTGTTTAAAACATGTGGTAATTCGTTACATGATAAGATCTACTTTACCCGATCATAAAAAATATCGAAAACAGGCTAAAATAAAAGTGTAAGATGAAGTACTTAAGAATAAAATATCTAACTTTGCGCATAATTTTGAAACGGACAGATTTCTCTTTTATTACTACAGAGAACCTGGAAAATTTTGGTTTTCAATTGAAGCTCTATAGTTATTAAATTACATTTATACCATAATTTGAAAATTTTCTAGCGGGTAAACGACATGCCGTGCCGCCCGTTGTCCCATTAGTCGTCATCGGGCGCTTGTCGACGTTGGATCTGCGTCAAATTTTCTCCGCCTGTTTTTGTTTTATTCATATTATTTGTCAGCGCACGGGTTACGGGACGCGAGGGGCGGTCCGCCACACCTCACTATACTAAACTTTTAAATTTATTTAAGTAATGAGAGCGGAAGAAAATTTACAATCAGATGACCTATGTTTTATTATATTTTATGTTTTATGTAATTTATTGTACTCTCGACAAATTCGGTTCAAAATAGCATTAGAGCCATCATTAGTTTTGAACCGTTTCGATAATTACTTGGCCTGGCGACGCGATGTGGAATAGAAAACTGAAGTCGCAGTAAAAGTTCAGGGCAATCAATTTGCCCCGAAATCAAACGATATAGAAAAATTTGATCGGCAATGTTGAACATTTGGAAAGCATTTAGTCTGTACTCGTATCCTTTCAATAAGTGCCGTTTGTGGACCGTGAGGAAAGAGAGAAATCGCTTTTGGACGCTGTCCCTGTCTATGCGATATAGAGATTATGATTTTGGTACAAAGGGTTTGAAATGGGAGATGCATATTCCAAATTAGTACGAACTAGGGCATACTAAATAATTATCAACGTAGTGATACTTTTAAAGGACAATTCCTCCACACGAAGGTCAACATCCTGAGAGATTCATTGATGATATTGTCGAAGTGATAATTAAACGAAAGCGAGCTTTCAAATATGGCTCCTAAGTCTCTGATATGGTTGACATCATCCGAATAGCTACATCAATGAAGTATGACGTGGGAAATCGATGCCTTACTTTAAAGAGTTATTTGAGTTACTTACTTTATCCAGGAGATGGCCAAACTTTCTATTTATTTTAAATTTCTTATCAAGGGTGTAAATTTGGATGCATTACTTTGGCATAGGTAAAAGTCAGTGTGTGAATATGAAGGAATTGTGTTGTGAAATCAGTTTGCAAAACTTGTATATACAACCCATTTTTTGCATTTCAATAACTTGGTGCTTTAAGATACGAGATTGAGAAAGTAAGGCGACGAAATAAAACTTTTTTGGTAAATTTCTTTTTGATATTTAAAGATAATTTGTTATATGTATATAAGGCTAAAGTGTCTGTATTATTTAGTATTCATAATATCAAGCATTACGAAGCCCGTATAGAAAAGCGTGAAATATTTTTTTTTTCGGAGGTCGCATTATTGGCAGGATTAAGGACAAGGAAATTCCCTTACGGCCGTCATCGTAATTGTACGTTCTAACCAGTTTCAAATGAGGAAATTTTCTTCTTTATAGTTAAATTAAACGATTAAATTAGTTTCGTCGCAATAACTTTTATCATTTATTCACTCACGTCACTAAGCCACGTGCTGCACATGAATACAAATAACTGTCCTTATTTACTTTTTATCCATTGCCACAATTGAAACAAGGTTATCAATTTAAAATGGAGTCGAAACCCTTGGCCCGTGGGGTCCGGTGCCCTTTATCTGTACAAAATTTTATTCCAATAATTAATAGACTCTCTGGGAAACCCAAGAGCCGGCAGGGACCTTGCCCAACGCATTAGCATAGCCATACAAAGTGGGAACGCTGCCAGCATCTTGGGCACCTTGCCGCGGGGACTAAATTTTATTCACATAATTTAATTCTAGTTTTAATTTCTAGTATTTAAGCATATAAGCTTTTATTGTACCTTACCTGTATATTATGAAATAAAATATACAGCGTGTCCCAAAATTCAACGATAAGCGGGCGCTGGAGGGTGGACCTGCGCATAACTAATTGAGGAAAAATAAGAAAAAAATCCATCTATCTCATTTTTTTTTTCAATTACGATAAAAAAATTGTTATTCTTCGAAAATTTACTCCCTTAATGATATTTTGAATCACCACGACCACATTTTTTCAGATATTTCTGATGTTTTTATTTTAACGGCCACCTAAGTAGTACTGCTGTCTACCACAACTCTTAAATTCCCAGAACGAATGCCTGCAATTTTACAAAAAAATCCATCAAAATATTTTTTTTTCCTTGAAATTTAGAAATATTTTTACCTGCAGTCGACTTTCACTCATCGTTTTGTAAAAAAAAGTACGGACACCACTGCGGCAAGTATTTTTAAAAATTGACGCAACTAACCAAGATTCCAAAATGGTATAATACTTTAAGAGAACTAGGCGCAAAAAAATATTGGTACCATTTCTAAGAAAGACTAAATTTCTTGATTATTGTTCTTATTCATAATAATCACTTTCACCATGTGCCGAAACAAGATTATTTGATGCAATTTCTTGGAATTTCAATGGCACATGTGCGTCGATACAATTTAGAAATTAGAGAGAGAAAGATAGCGAGAGATATACGTTAGAAAGAGATAGATAGATGCCCTTTGTTGAATAACAATAAAGCAGGTACTTAAAAAAAATGTTGCAAAAAATATTCGTACCATTTTTAAGAAAGACTAAAATTCTAAATTATTGTTCTTATTTATAGTAATCACTTTTACTATTTGCCGAAAATAGGTTTTTGTTGCTGAAAAATGTTGAATAAATCAAAACAAATGGTATTTCTTCATTTAATTTATTTATTGCAAAATTAACATTATAGTAAATGTTCAAATTGTTTGCCACTAGCATTAATACATGCACGACATCGCCTTAAAAATGATCGTTTTATCTGTCGTGCATATCTTCTACCGTTGATATGAGCCGCAGCTTGATTGACTTTTTGCCGAAGCTCGTCCAATGTTGTGATGGGTTTTGCGTAAATCCTGTCTTTGAGACAACCCCATTAGAAGAAATCCAGGGGGTTTAGGTCGGGTGAACGGGGTGGCCATAAGATAGGACCAAGTCGCCCGATCCAACGCCCAGGATATTCTTGGTTTAAGTATTCTCGCACAGGACGGGCGTAGTGAGCTGGGCAACCATCATTTTGAAACCACATGTTTTGTACATCACTTAAGGGGATGTCTTCTAATAATTCTTGCAAATCATTTTGTAAAAAGTTCAAATAACTATCACCATCTAAGTTTCCTTGTAACTCAAAGGGCCCAATCACTTTTCCATTTAATATGCCTGTCCATAGGTTAACCTTGAATGGATATTGGGATTTGTCTTGTCTCATCAGGTGCGGATTTTCATTGCTCCAACTATGTAAATTGTGAAGATTTAAATAACCATCTTTCTTGCAGGTTGTTTCGTCCGACCATAGAACTTTGTCTAGGAACTGGGGATCTTCCCGGTGTTTTTGCAGCATCACACTGCAAAATGCGATCCGTAGTGGATAGTCCCGAGGCAATAACGTCTGCACTCGCCTATACTGATATGGGTGGAGCTTGTGACGTTTCAGAATTCGATGTGCTGTACTTTTTGGGATTCCCGTAGCTGCTTCTATGGCACGTACTGAGGTAGTTGCATCAATGTTTATTTCATTGAGAACTTCTTCATCGCATTCCGATCCAGCGTTTCTTCTGGCAGATGGAAAATGACCCTCCGAAAACGCTCGATGTACATTCAAAAATACTCGATAATCCGGGTATCTTTCAGTGTTTGGGTACCTTTCTCGATACAATCTGCTGGCAGCGTTAGCATTGCACCGACATTCTCCATAAATGAGGTGCATGTTAGCGTATTCCACCGGTGTGTATGGTAGCGGCATGATAAACGATAATCAGTTCAAAATACGCCAAAACTCCAATTCACAGTCCAAAGTGATGCCAGGTCAATTTAGTTTGCAGATCACTTAAATCCAGTCCAATAAGCCAAGCCAAAAGTCGTTAGTACGAGAGCTACGTCAATTGATTACGGAAAGGTGCGCAGTAAACAAAGGAGCAGAGCGTACTGACTTGCTGAGCACCGGAACTTCTCTACCTGCGTTATTGCTATTCAACAAAGGACATCTATCTATCTCTTTCTAACGTATATTTCTCGGTATTTTTCTCTCTCTCTAATTTCTAAATTGTATCGACTACGCACACGTGCCATTGAAATTCCAAGAAATTGCAACACATAACCTTTTCTCGGCACATAGTAAAAGTGATTATTATGAACAAGAACAATAATCAAGAATTTTAATCTTTCTTAGAAATGGTAACAATATTTTTGGCGCCTAGTTTTATTAAAGTATTATACCATTTTGGAATCTTGGTTAGTTGCGTCAATTTTTAAAAAAAACTTGCCGCAATGGTGTCCATACTTTTTTTTTACAAAACGATGAGTGAAAGTCGACTGAAGGTAAAAATATTTCAAAATTTTAAGGAAAAAA